AAGTGCGTGGGAAACTTCTTCATATTTTCATATGCTGAAAGCTAATACAGTAATTAAAAGATTCACTGCCTGCAGTGGTTTCTATTGTATATTTAATTACGTAAATTTGTATCATTTGAAAAAGGGAATGGCAAAATGATTTTCACCACTTAAAAGGGGAAAGATTTACTACAGTACTTCGCACCTTTGGTTGGTTATTTTATAGTAGAAACTAAATGATTTTGGTCTGAATTAAATTGGTCGATTAGTTTATAGTAAAAGCGGAATTATTTTTGTCTGAATCGGTTGGTAATTTTATAGTAAAAACTGAATAATTTGTGGTCTGTATTTAATAACTTTGTTGATTTAAAAAAAATTATAAACATATTCTTTTTAGTTGAGGTTTTTTTTTTTTTTTTTTTAGTATTTCACAGATGGTATTTAATTAAATTCTTAAAGCAGTTGGCTATACAATGTGATGCAGTAAATGTGTGATGTTACATTGGTCCTCACAACCAGTATTTAAGACCCATAACTAAAGTGCAAGGCCTTAAAATGATCAATGGTTCTATATTGACAAATAGAACCTGATGATGGTGTGTGGTCGAAACAAAACCAATATTTATTATTATTATTATTATTTCGACTGTCTTTAAATTGAAAGCACTATCAGTGAAGATGAGAAATAGAATGAAAGAATAAATGCAAATCAGAAAAAAAATCAGCACTCATTTTAAACCATTTTTACAGCCCATTAGGCCATGTAAAATAAAATAATTGGTTAGCATCCCCTCCCTACCATCAGAGACACCTCCATTTTACATTGCTTTATCAAAGCAAGCTGAAGCACTGTCTAGAATATCAAATTTATTTGACAACAAGATATTCTGAGATTACAAACTCTCGCCCTCTAAGTCTTGCGCCATATCTTTCTATATAGTCGATACACTCGAACCGCTGGTTGTTGTTGGAATATAGGGATGTAATATTACCAGCTATACATATTAGGTGAACTGTAGCTGAGCGGTAAAGGTGCACATACTTAGTTAATCGAATGTATGAGGTTTAAATCTCGAGCATTTTTCTTTTTTTTTAATTTTGTTATTTTTAAAAATTATTTGTGCATCCTATAGAATACTTTTTTTTCATATTTTATTATTTTTTACAATTATTATTTTTTTTTTTCAATTGTGAGATATATGGCTGGAAAATATTAAAAACATTCTAAATCTTGCTTCTCCAATCCACCCGCCAAACAAAACCTAGCAGAGGCCTCAAGTTGCAAGCCCATCAGTCGGGCTTACACACCTTCCTGCTGCTTCCAGTTCACCGGCAAGAATTTGACACATGGTCAGTCCGCTCGAGTCGATCTGCTTACTGTATTTAGTCCATAATAATTCAGGTTCACTTATCATGGGTGAACTTATTGGGACTTGAAATAAAAATGTTAAAGTACATTTTTGGATGCAGATATTTTAAATGTGTTCGGCTCTGTCAAAACCTGCTGTTTGTTGCAATTTCTAATTTCGCACAAACACCCAAAACGTTTGAAAAACAGAATTTTGAACATTCCGAGGTTTTTGCATTTTATAGTAGAAGATATTGAAGAACGTTTCTGCAAAGTATCAATCACTAAATGTAAGTGAAAAGTATATTGTATTAATTATTTTAACAAGAGCGACCGCTCTCC